AACGTTAAAAAGATTACATCGTTAAAAATATCATGAGTAGACAAAATACAACGTCAATTTCTAATTATTGAAATTTTTTAAGATAAAAGCTTATCCTGATTCTACGCTTATCGAGACCTATCATTTGAGTACGCTTCTGTCAAAATGTTTATCATCGAAAATTTCATTAACCACTATTTTTACAAATTTTATTTATTATTATCTAACCGTTGCCATGTTAATCGTTGCCAAATTGGTTGCCATAGCAACGAAAAGCGACAACAATGAAAAACTTACATCAACTTTTTAAAAAAGGATTGCCTGCCACATGAAAATCATGTTTTTGTCAACTAACAACTCTTTTCTAATATTATACTTGACGGGGAGCAGTTAACAGAATACCAGACTAGCAAGCGAGGGGTCGCGAGGTCAAATCCAACAGGCGCCCCCTGATTTTTTCAGTAGAAATCGTTTCTCAAAGTCGTAATGCGCTTCCGAGATAATAATAAACAATGTAAGAATGAAAATTAAAAAAATTTTTTTTTTTATTAAAGTTCAATGATATGAAATTTTATAAAATTGTACAAAAGGCTATCATTTTTTATAAGGATTTATGAGGCCATTTTCAGTATGAAATTTTCTTGAATTTTTTTATCACAAACCGACTGTATATCACTGTTTTACTTTTAAATTATCTGAAATTGCTGGAATGAGAAAATTATTATGTAAATATGTAATTATTAAAATAAGTTACATAAATTTTAGTGATAAATGAATTTTTTCTGTCACATGGATATTTCTATCATGTTAATAAAAAAAAAATTCCCATGTTACCATTGGAAAAATTTCTATGTTAACATTGGAAAAATTCCTATGTTGACATTGGAAAAATTCCTATGTTAACATTGGAAAAATTCCTATGTCACATAGGAATTTTTCCTATGCAAAAATAGGAAAAATCCCTATGTTTTTTTCTCCGTGTACGTTTTTCTTATCCTTCTTTTATCAATTACTAAATAACTTATGGCTTTACAGCGCATGGCACAATGAGTTAACAAAATTGGAACTCACTGAAAGCAATCAAAAAGATAAAGACTCAACCACTATCAAATCACTAAAACCAAGTCTTCTCCGCGCAATAATCCGCTGTTTCGGCATGCAAATCTTTATCTTTGGAATATTCCAAATGTTTATCAATGTGATCCTATTCAATTTGCAACCAATCATCCAGAACTGGATCATCGAGTACTTCGATGTCAATAATACCTCAATCACGCAAAATAATGCACTCGGTTATGCCGGTGCACTTACAACTGTAGCTTTGTTGCTAACATTCATAATGCACCAGCTCAACTACTTCAGTCAGATCATAGGATTAAGATTCCGAGTCGCTTGTTGCTCGTTAATTTACCGCAAGAGTTTGAAGTTGAGCAAACCTGCTTTGGATAAAACTCCTCCAGGTCAGATAATCAATCTTCTAAGTAACGATGTCAGCCGATTTGATTTGATTCCAATGTTTATAAATTTTCTATGGATAACGCCTTTACAGGTGAGTAGAATTTGTTGAAATTTGATTCTTCAAATAATTTGACTAATTTTTCCGAAAAATATATAGGCTAAAGGCTCCAAATATTGACCAGTTGAGATAAAATGAATAGAAATACATTGTTTGTAAATTTATTGGAAGAGTTCATGAGCTAAAATGAGTGTTATATTTTTTTACAGTTTTAACTTACAACCGATCATACTTTTATTTATAAAATAAATAATAATAAACATTAAATTGTAGTAATTAACGTCACAGCCGATTGCTCCAAATATTGACCACTACGCATTAAACGTTGAACGTCTACATTCTAAATACTGACTAATAGTATAATACTTACTAGATTTATGAATAACTTTGAGTTTTAATCTATAATCATTTTCACATTTGGTAATCTATTCACTGACATATTTATAATTTCAGTTTTGCTATTAGTTGTTCTGTATTCTGATACAATATTATCTTTAGTACTCATAATGAAATCAAAGCCCGAAGCCCATACTATTATCAGATATATTGGATAATTTAGAACCCCAACTATTGACCAGATTATTATTCCAATTATTAACATCATTTTTGTAACAAAAATGATTAATAATTAATTTATAATATTCAATTGTTTTGCAAAATTCTTATCAACTAATTGTGAAAGTATTGAATTATATAATAATTGATGATAAATGTAGTTAGATAACACGGCGAGATTAATTTCTTATGACTAATTTTCACAACTTCTTGATATTTGAACCCATAAGTTCATTATTTTTTATTATAACAACTGCATACATTTATGTGCAAGCACAGATTTTTATTTCAAGTATTATTAAAAATTGATAATTACGTATTGAATATAAAATTAAATCACTAGATTTTTTAAAATCAAATTGTTATGCTGCCTGGTCAATATTTGGAGCTTAGTCAATATTTGGTTCCTTTAACCCTTTATGATGTTAATGTTGATTTCTTGTAGATTTTTGTTGTAGGATACATAGTCTGGCGCAACATCGGAATCTACACTCTGGTAGGCTACGGTGTCTTGTGCTTGGTAACAATCCCGATGCAAAGCTACGTAGGAAAGATCTCTGGAAAACTTAGGAAAGTAACTGCTAAGTTGACTGATCGACGGGTTCAGCTTATGAGTGAATTAATCTCTGGGATTCAGGTATAGATGTGACTCTTTTCACATGAAGAAGTAAATGATATTGATAATGATTCGTGATTGGATACTAGGTGGTGAAAATGTACGCTTGGGAGAAGCCGTTTAACAAAATCGTAGCAATGATCCGACTGGATGAGATCAAACAGATCACCCGATCCAACAATGTGCGAGGTTTGTATTCTATTTTGTCAGGAGTCAGTCAAAAGATCATGGTGTTTGCGACACTGGTGACGTTCATTTTCGACGGAAATTTACTTGATCCAAAGGTGACGTTCCAGATCGCGGTTTACTTCAACAACCTTCAAATACACATGGCACTTTGTTACCCAATGGCAATTATTCTTTTAATTCAGTCGATTGTTGCAGTCAAGCGAATTGAGGTTTGAGTACTTATAATTCACTGATTTAATGATTACTAGAAATTTATAAACTGGGAATATTACAGGAATTTCTTCTGTTGGAGGAAGTCAAAGAAAACGCAAAGGCTTCGGACATCGTAGCACAAATGCCTGAAATTGTTGAGAGTCGCGTAGAGAATAAAGCCAACCCGGGAGCTGTAGTTGTCAAGCTGGACAAAGTTTCAGCGAATTGGAAGTTCGGGCAATTACCTCCAACACTGTATGACGTCTCACTGAAAATCAACGGAGGAGAACTTTGTACTCTTGTAGGTCCAGTCGGTTCGGGTAAAAGTTCTTTGCTCAATTTGTTCCTACAGGAGCTGCCAGTCGGTGCAGGCACGGTTGAACTCTTCCAGTTTTCTGATAAAGAGTCTGCTGGAGCTAAGTCGAAGTCGGGATTTTCACAGGATAATCCAGGGATGAGGATATCATACGCTAGTCAGGACTCCTGGCTCTTCACGGGAAGTGTCAGAGAAAACATTCTCTTTGGGCAAGAGTACGATAAAGCGCGTTATCAAGAGGTAAGCTCAAATTTTTATTAGTTTTTTCAATGCAGGTCACTAATTTTTGTTGTCAATGATGGTATTATCAGGTAGCGAAAGTTTGTTCTCTACTACAAGACTTCAAGCAACTGCCAGAAGGTGATCTGACGATTGTCGGAGAACGAGGAGCTTCCCTTTCTGGCGGTCAGAGAGCGAGAATCAATCTAGCCAGAGCTATTTACAGACCTGCTGATTTGTATCTTTTGGATGATCCGCTGAGTGCTGTTGATGCGCGCGTATCTCGACGACTCTTCCAGGACTGTATCCTTGGCTATCTCAAAGGCAAAACACGGATCCTCGTCACTCATCAGCTCAATTATCTTATGCAAGCTGACACCATCGTCGAAATCGACCGTGTAAGTATGTCCCTAAGCTTCTTCAAGCATATCAAAGGTCTATCATTTATCTCATGTCACATTAGGGGACCATCAAACATCATGGCACTTTCGAAGCTCTTGCAGAATCCGATTCTGAATTCATTAACATGCTAAATAACTTGAACAACGACAAAAACAATACATCAAAAGAAACTGATATAGTCCCAGGTGCTGACAAGAAGAGTAGTTTCATCAGAGAGCGCAGAAGATCTTCCCAAATTTCGATCAAATCTCAAGACAGTCATCGATCTGTGAGTACCTAGCTTAGACTCATTCTCAATTACTTCCATTGATCCATAAAACATCTTTTAGATGCCCAGTGAAGACTTGATTGATAAAGATGAAGCAGGTGAGGTACCAGATGAAGTGATGGGCACGGGATTCATTTCCAAGGATGTTTACTTTCGTTACTTCCGCGAAGGTGGTGGAATAATTGGCTCGATATTGCTCGCTCTTATATTCATCATCGCTCAAGTTTCGTCAATTGGTGTCGACCAATGGCTGACCTACTGGACAGCATTGGAAACATACAGACCCTGTCTTGATGCAACGATAACTAGTTGTTCAAACGTTGGAGCCGGGCCCAACTCTCTTGTCAATAACACAATCTTTACACCGTGGTTGGGCAGTGATGGCTTGCTGCCTGCTACGACTGCCATTTACATTTACTTAGCGCTTCTCATCATTTTCACAGTTCTGTCGGTATTGAAGTGCTATTGCCTTGTTGCAATTGGTATGAGAGCTGCTCGAAAGCTGCACAATCTTATGTTCAAAAACATCCTCCAAGCGACAATGTATTTCTTTAATACAAATCCTTCTGGTAAGAATAATTCGATTATCTGAATCATTGGCATTGAAACCACTTTAAATTACAGGACGGTTATTGAACAGATTTTCAAAGGACGTAGGTGCAATGGATGAATTACTTCTACCATTTATGCTCCAAGCTTTCCTTATCCTTTTCGATGCCGCTGGGACCATTGTAAACATCATGGTGGTCAATCCTTGGATGATCATTCTGACATTAATTGCTGGTATTGTTTTCTATATCGTAACTGCGTACTATCTGACAACTGCTCAAGATGCTAAAAGATTGGAAGGGATAAGTAAGTAATCTCAGAATTTAACGTCAAGTTGAATAATTGGTGAAAAATGTGATAAACTTGTTCCTCTTAGCGAAGAGCCCTGTGTATACCCTCGTGAACACGACATTAAATGGCTTACCAACAATCCGAAGCCGAGGAAAAGATGTTGAAACTATGTTACGGAATCAATTCGATGATTTTCAAGATCATAATTCTGGAGCGTGGTATATACTGATAGGAACCGGTTCGGCGTATGGCTTCAGTATTGATATGATCACTAGCACGTTCATATCTATTTTGAGTTTCACTTTGATCCTTATTAATCCTGGTAATAATTGATTCTTTGTTTGAGAATTTAAATGTGAATATGTTATTATGGTAGTCTGATTTTTTTAGTAAGCACATTTGGAGCGTCAGTCGGGTTAGCAATATCTCAAGCTTTGTCACTTACGGGATTGCTTCAATATGGTGTGAAACAAGCAACGGAAGTACAATCACAAATGACAGCTGTTGAGAGAATAATTCAGTATACTGACTTGCCGAAGGAAGGTCCTATAGAATCATCGAAGCAATTGCCTGAGAACTGGCCATCTAAAGGCCGACTTCAGTGGAAGAATGTTTATCTTAGTTACAAAAAAGATGATCCTGCTGTCTTAAAGGTATAAAAATCGCGAGTTATACTTAAGCTCGTAAGTGAATTTCAGAATAATTCAATTAGATATTTCTTCTGATGATTAGAACATTGACTTGATGATCGAGCCAGGCTGGAAAGTTGGAGTTGTCGGAAGAACTGGTGCCGGAAAATCCTCATTGATATCTGCACTCTTCCGACTAGTCGACGATGGTCTCCAGGGGCAAATAATTATTGACGGTGTAGACACTAAAACAATCGGGCTTCAAGATTTACGATCGAACATATCAACAATTCCACAGGAGCCTGTTTTATTTTCCGAGACACTGCGTTACAACCTCGACCCCTTTGGGAAATACACCGATAAAGAAATTTGGGACGCTTTGAGGGAAGTTGAATTGAGTGACTTGGCCCTCGACCAATGGGTCACCGAAGGCGGAACAAACTTCAGCGTTGGTCAGCGTCAGCTGATTTGTCTCGCTCGCGCTCTGCTGAGAAACAATCGGATCCTAGTTCTCGACGAAGCCACCGCCAATATCGACTCTCGGTATGTATTATCCCTGCTCTTATCAATTCAAATTCTCCAAGAATGTGCAACTTTTTAACAATTGTTTGGATGGTAGGACTGATGCGTTGATCCAAAAAGCTATTCGTTCAAAATTCGTAGACTGCACAGTTATAACAATAGCTCACAGATTGAATACAATCATCAACAGCGACAGGGTTCTAGTAATGGATAATGGATGTGCTGTGGTGAGTGATTAATCAAATTTTCTTACTCGTTTCTTCTATTTACCAATTACTAATCTTCCTTATCCAACAGGAATTTGATGCGCCTTACGAATTATTGATGAACAAATCCAATAGCATGTTTGCAAAAATGGTTGAACAAACTGGACCATCAATGGCCGCTACCATATTACACGAAGTAATTGAATTTCATCAACAGTCAGAAGCACTGTTGGGTCAAGTTGATCTCAATTTTCCAGATAAACACAATTCTTCATCAGATTTCTAAAAAATAAAACATTTATACCAATAATTTTAGTAATTCACTTTCTTGTAGCTATTGCGTATTCAAGAAATTATTGTATACCATTGCCAATATACTTTTGTAATTAAACTATAATTTTCCGGGAATTTGTAAAAATAATCTTGCCTTTTAAAAGTGAATTATTGGATAAATAATTTCTATAATTAATTGAAGAACTTGTTTGTTTTGTTCCACTTTTTTAAGAAAGAAAGTATAATGTTTTACTTGAATGAATCTTTTAAAGTAAAAGTAGAACGTATGATTTAATAATAAAGTCCTTTGCATCATGCATGTAATAACTTTAGCATCCGTAGCTGTATAATGACCGCGACTTTCTTTTTACTTTCACGGAGTTTAGTATCGTATAGTTACATACTAACATACATTATCATTCGTCAGTTTCTTCCGAGCTCCCATGCTAGTTTGATTCATAAAAATCTCTAGTAATATTACGAGTTTTATTAGTGTTTTTTATTTTAGTAATTTGTTAAGCAATAATTAATAATAATCCTGTGAACTTAATAAAAATAATATACTTACATATTTGAACAAATAATAATGGGTATTTTTTTACAAGAAGATAATCAGGTAAGAATTTGATGAAAATTTATTTTAGTATAAAAGTTATTATTATTACTCTCATTAAAAATAATTTGCTTTGTTTTTAGATAAATACGAACAATATAACGATACAAAAAAACGATGTATCCCGTGAAATGCGTGGCAACATTATAGGAAAATTCAAAGGATTTCGTGGCTGTACCTTATGGCTAACAGGACTGTCGGGTGCGGGAAAAACATCAATAGCATTTAACCTAGAAAATTACTTAGTTAAACTGGGGATTCCCGCGTACAGTTTGGACGGCGACAATATGAGAAGCGGTTTGAATAAAAATTTGACCTTCAGCAAAGAAGATCGGCAAGAAAACATAAGACGATCTGCTGAAGTTGCTAAATTATTTTCCGATAGCGGACATATCACAATCTGCAGTTTTGTATCGCCATTTAGCGAGGACCGTTCCTTGGCGCGTAAAATCCATCAAGATGTCGGCTTGAAGTTTTTTGAAATATTTATTAACGCGTCGCTAGACGTCTGTGAGTCACGTGACGTGAAGGGCCTCTACGAAAAAGCACGAAACGGCACAATAAAAAGTTTCACGGGGATCGGTCAAAACTACCAGGTGCCAATTGATCCAGATTTAATTTTAGATACCGAGCAACAAACTCTCGATGAATCGACAATTACTTTAGTTAAATTTCTCGAGGGTAAAAAAATTATACCAAATACTCCTGAGTGTAGAGTTGAGATAAGAAATAATTTATTTTTCAATAACCAACAAACTAAATTATAATTCAATATAATATAATATAATTATAACAATCTATAAATATAAAAACAATAGAATAAAAATATCTAAAGCAATACACTTTTTTTATATAACATTTAACGTCATCAATTATTCGTTTACAACACAGATAGTATCAATACAGGAAAGGTTCTTGTCATTTTTACTTTTATTTATTATAATACCATACATAATCATATTATTCATTAAGATAACTTGCTTATTGTTTTTTTACATACATTTCAACGATAAAAATAATTAAAACTATATTTTTATTATATTTTTTTCCTTGTTTTATATATATATTATATATTCGTCATGTTACATTGAAAAAAAAAAATTAGCTGATTCAAGAAAAATTTTACTTTTGCTTCGATAAAATTTAAGTTATTTTGAACTAACTTGTATTAATTCATTTTGCATTAACTAAAGAACTTTACTTGTAAATTAAGGTAGTGCCGTCACTCACATAATTACCGTTCAGAATTTAATAAAACTTGGCATACTAGTACACTATACAATTCTAATAAGATAACGAACCAGTTAAGTTTCTAAAGAAAGGCGGAGAACCAGCAAAAAAAAATACTAATACAAAAACATGTTGGCCTTTGCTGTTAATTTATAAAAAGTACCCCTGGTTAGCAAAAATAATTCACAACAATTGACAGTGTTAAATTATATTACAATAGATTAAATTATTGACTTTTAATTAAATAACAATATTTCAATTAAATTTTTTCAAATAATTTGATCAATTTTAGAAATTCAATGTAAATTATTTTTTCTATAGAAGTTACTTATGACCTTGTTGTTAAAAGCGACTTAAAATAAAGCAATAATAATTGACAGTATTAATTCTTCAAAAGATAAGAATTTAAAAACATTGAAAAAAATCAGATTTCGTTATTCCCGATACTTTTTAATTCGTTTTTTAATCAGGGACCATTCAGATTTTAATAAAAATTTAAGTCATGAGTAATAATTAACAAAAAACTATAAAAAATTATCTTTGACTCATTTCTTCCAATGCAACGTTACAAGGGTAAATCTACTACGTGAATCAAAAGAGACTTTGTGTTTGATATTTGACATTTGTGGTATCTGTGGTACTATCTTAACAAAGTAAAACTTTAAGATGAAATAAAGTTTTCTATTCAAGAATTTCATAATCAATTCAACCAAGCGCTTTATTGTTTCCAAACGAGATAACCTATATTTTATCTAATTATACATTTTTCGAGGATTAAGGTAGTATCACAGATACCACAAATATCAAATATTCCGTACGAAGCCTTATTTTATTTACGTATATAATTTCCCTACAAACATCGCATCAGAGAAAAAGAGACAGGGATCATTTTTTAAATCTTTTTTATTAATTATAACTATCACATCTTCTGAATCTGTACTTTTAATTACGTAAAGTGTTCAATATGTTATTTTTTTTCATCACCGAAATTTTTACTGAAATCTGAAAAGAAGACAAAATGGAAAAGAAGGCATGTAAATTACAATTATATTAAATGTTTAAAAATTTTATGTAATAAATATTATTTTATTAACTTTAGCACCCTACACAGGGGTTCTCCAAACCCCACAAAATTTTTCCAACCTTGGTATTTTGGCTGTATTAGTGGTAAAGTCACGACATTTATCGTATTAGAGATGAACTTATTTAGAGGAGAATGCTGTAGAGAAACTTCAGTTCTAATTTATACGTGATATAGTGAAGATTTTGAAAAACGTTGGGGTTAGCGTATAACCCCACTATATTTATTATATCGAACTTGATTGAAATTCAGTTTATTCATTCAAAAGTAATTGCAGTTTGAAAATTTTAAGAATAGTGTTTTATTAAACTACTAACACTTTTGAGCTCGAAGAGCTCAAAAGCATAGAACAGCTAATTCTTTGAGCTCAGAGAGCTCAAAATAACACATAAATTGTATTTTTGAGTTCGAAGAGGTATGGAATTAGCGGGAAGTTACGGAGATGGCCTTCAGGGTCAACCGTTTCCCTAATTTTTTATATTTAGACAGTGTAGGGTGCTAGTGTTAGAGTTTTAGGTGCAGAGTTATTTTGAATGAATATATTACATAGTCCATTTAGTCCAATGTATAACCTAACTTTTTCTCACTTTTCAAACTTGAAATCGAAGACTTCGAATTTTTCTAAGCTACAAGAAATATTATATTACGCACTGACAAAGGAAAGTAGGACATTCCAACCTGTGTGTAAAATTGTCTCCCTAGACGCAGGCGAGGGTGACAAACCCGCGTATTGAGATATCCTACTTTTCTTCCTGGTGCGTATCCTATTTCTCATTATATTTGTAAACAAGTTTGAACTTTGTGCTTTTGTTTTTGTGAGCAGGTTAGTGCAAATGTCAAGCTATTCATTTATTCGTATATGTCATTCCATAAGGTAAAAGTCGCACTTTCGTTCTGCAAAAAAAAGTTAGATAAAAATATTTTTCTTGAATCAATTAGTTTTTTTTTTCCTTTTTTTTTTTTTTTAGTGCACATATGTTTTACTTTCTGTTGGTATTTGGAAGGTTTTAAAACGTCAACTATAAATAACAATTTGTACGATTCATTGATTTGACTAGAATGTAAATAATATATACACACATATTTTGTTCAGACAAATGAACTTCTTTTCATAAATATAATAATAATAAATGGGCTCGTTCAAGTTAACTAAGCTCTTGGCAGATCTTAGCAGATTTTGTACCAAAAACTAAAAGTGACTATATTCTCTCCAGAGAATATCTGTAATAAAACAATGCAAGATATACTAATCTAAGCTCAGTCCAGCTAAGAACTTAGAAAACTTGAACAAGCCCAATAATTTTTTCTTTTACTTCACTTTAATGACTAGGTTACAAGTAATGGATAGCTACGCTACCGGAAAGTTGTTAAGATTAACTTATAATTAAAAATAATTGTAATAAATTTTTCAGAATTTTTTGACGATTCCGGTGGTTCTTATTTTTTAATTGTTTATAATCATATTATTAACCAATTACTATTTTTCTAAAATGAATTATTGGTAGTTGGAAAACTAACAAAATTAGTTGAATAAATTGAACATTTTGTCATTTGATTATAATTTACAAATGAGTGCAAACTGATATAATCATAATATTGAATAGAATTGTAATTAATAATAAAGAAAATTTTTGTAAATTTAATAATGTATCTCTTAAAAATTTTCAAAAAATTGAATTGAAAAAAAAATTTTATAAATTTTAATAGATTTTTGTCTAGTTAAAAAAGTCAAAAATGTTCAATTTTATTTATTAGGAAGAATTAGATCCACAGAAATGAATTTTTAATTATATATTGTTACGTTAATTCTTTAATATACTTAGTAATATTCAACAATTTTTGGTTCTGTAATGTTCAATCCGAGGGCAAGGTAACAGCGAAAGATTTTTTCAGTGGTCCCTCTAGTGAACAAACAATATATTTTATTTTAATTTTTTCATTACATAGATTTTTTTTCTCACCAAAAAAATTTTTATTACTCGTATTTTAGAATTAACGTCTCAAAATATCAAATTCAAAGTTTTTTTGATTCGATGATTCGTTTCAGATAAGTTATTTTATTTGAACACAAAATTTCGTGTAACAATCATATATATTGACCTGACTAGATATTTGATGTAATCAAAAAAGTAAATAAAAAAAATGTCCAAATAAATTACTTAACAGTAAGTTATTTATTGTATTGAAAAAATAATATATATTTATTATAGTTTAATTATAGTTCAGTCAAAAATATATATATTTAGGTAGAGAAGGATTTACTTTTTCATTTAAATTTACCCAATCGTTATTTCTTACTTAAATGTTTATCTGCGATATTCCAACCGTAATTTAATCTGGAACATCTGAAATTACAAAATATTCATAAATTTTCCGCTCTAGCTAAAAATACAATAAAAGAAAAACAATGAAACTGAAATTAACTGACACTTGACAATTTTTTTATCTTTCTTGAAAAATAAACTAGATCTAAAAAATTATTTTTAAAAAATTACATTCATAATTTTTTAAAACTTCTAAAGACGAAATTTTTTAATTAATTTCTCATGCTACAGAGTCATGTGGTGCAAATGTGCGCACTTAAGTATTCAAACTAGTGTCCAAATTAAACAATAAGCATGAAAGAAAAATGAAAATATGTCTCCGATAGAGTATTGATTTAGATAATAATTGAATTAAGAAATAAAGTCTAAAACTTTTATACTTCGGATAAAAAAAAAAATTCTAACTGTCATTTTAATTAAAAAGCGCACCTATGACTAACTTCAAGACTTTCATGTACTTTTATTTGGAAGATTAGAAGGTTATGGCGTCGTACGCTATTTATTCGTAAATTGAGTATCCCCTGCACGTAAAAACCCGCATACGTCCGCCATAGGAAGAAATAGTTATTTAAGGACCATGGGCAAAGCACGCGCAAATACGGTCGAGATGATAATTAATTGCAGCAGAGATATAAAGCCTCGGCCTTATCGGGCCTCAGCCTTATACTATCCCTGCTGAAAATATTCATCACCTTGACTGTATTTGCGCGTGGCTCGCCCAAGATACATAAATAACTATTCTTGTATAAGCTAATTTTCCACCAAAAAATCTTTTATTTGCCTACACATATCACAAACTTCCCCCTCCCCATTCATAAGTAAGGGATTGCGTATAATTACCCCACGCGACTTCAATTTGATTGTTTAAAAAATTCTAAAAATTATTCTGTCTCTCAATTTAAGTATCATCAAAAACAAAAACTAACCTTCTTCGTCAGAGTCAGATATTCGCGTTCCCTGAAGTGAACTCTGTTTGGACAGCGTGCGACTAAACGTCCCACGCGGTTTTGGAGGGGGAGACTGTTTGTTCCACAATGCTTCAAGCTGATCGAAGTGTTGCGACTGCGCAAGCGCAGCTTGTTCTCTTCCGAGACTAGATTGAGAATTGGCCAAGCCAGCTTTACTGATTTCTTCCATAGAGGCGCTGACACTGAAGCGTCGCTTAAGCCTGTCTTCTACCGCAGCGACCATTATTCCTGCAATATACCAAACAAACTATATTACCAACTCATCGACGCATGCGCATTGCTTACAACACAATAACACAACAGTATCAATTACCTGAAGTCAAGTGGCCATACTTTCGCTGCCAAGTGTAAGTGTCCAGTGAAACTTCTTTCTTCAACAATCTCCTGGCGGGT